GTGTGTGTAGGGGGGGTTAAAAGGGAGGGGCATTAGATCCTTAGAGAAGGAAGGTGGGTGAGGGGTATTGGAATTATGTTCACAGGAAATTATCATCAACAATCTTGTAAATCACAGTACCCCAACTGATAAAAAGTTAATTAAAAAGTGAATTTTAAATTCTACTCAAAAAAGCTGGAGTGTCATTTTCTTAGGCTGTTGAGCAGGACGTTACTATTTTCACCTGAGCCTGCCTGAACGTCCTGCTTGAGAAGGATGAGACTGAGTGAGTGAGCAGGAGACGTGTCTAGAGTCAGGTTGAACGGCTCTGAGAGGTTCAGGGCCTGTAGGGAGTTCAGTCAGAGGTCAAGGGTCAACACCCCAAAGGGGTCTGGTCATCACACTAAGGGGATTTCTGTAGGATGATAGCTCAGTGCCTCATCATGGAGTGAGGACATTCCAGGCACTTTCTGGCTCCAGGAGAAACCTGGAGACCCCTCTGATATCAGGAGCAAAGACTGCAGAAGCTGTCTCAGACATCACGGAACCAGCCACAGTGTGGTAGGTGAGATCAAGCTCATGGGAGTGTGAATGAGGGGCCCCAGGGAGGATCTTGTCAGGAGTTAAGTCAGTGGCATCAAGAAAGGAAGGTGTGGGAGGGTCTTCTGGGTCTGAGGAGACCTCATCACAGCTCTAAGCATGGGGCAGGTGTTGGTGGCGGTGGTCCCAGAACATTGCTTGGTAGCCTTCATCTGCCCCTCCCCCACCAAAGAAAAAGAAAGAAAAGGAGGGGAATCCTAAAGAATTTAGGTTACACCCTAGTCACAGAAAATTGGAATTAGCTGAGGTGCCCGCATGCTGACTCACCAACGCTCCGCTCCCTGCCTCACTCCTACACTCGGCTACTTTCTAGTGGAGCAAGGGATATCTCGGTATCTAGTTGTTGGAGGCTTCATCATGGTTGAGCTTCCTCAGCTAGACCAGACTCTAAGAGCTCAGTCAAAGAGTTTCTGGAACTGACAAGATAAGAATGAAACCTGAGGCCATTTCCCCACGAGATTCTTTTCTATTCTCTTCTAACTTTCTCAGCAGTACCTTCCCGACTCCCAGGAGGTTGCTTCTGAGGGTTCCTTCAGCTCTGAGAGTTGGACTGAGTGCTCTAGTATCAAAATTGATAGGGAAAGTCATTGGTTTCACCAATAAGGACATTTGTCTCCTTAGGGGGAAGTTATAGGAGTAACACCCAGTGTTAAATGAATGAATGAAAAACATACTTTGTTGAATGGATTGGTTTTTTTTTAAGGCAGATATTGGAGAATCTTATACTTTCTTTGAATAATATTCCAAATGATTTGAACAAGATTTTCAGGACAACTTGGAAAACTACTCACATGGCCAATCACTATTTCTCTCTCAAGGTTGATCTTTTTTCCCTGTTGCTTCTGGAAGAGTTCCCTAGAATTTCCACAGAATGAAAATGTTTGTGGTTATGCTGGGCCCCAACATTCACTTCTGTAAACTGGACTCCATATGTGGGGGTAGCAGAGTGACCTCATTTGTCCTTCGGTGTCCAGTTTCTCTCCTGCATCAGGATGAAAGTCCTTATATTCTTTCAAAACTAAATCATCAATTCTCTAACTTGCCTTGGGGCTTTTTAAATGCTTGGCCCCTGAGCCACCTTCCCACTGGGGCTCGTGTAACTGCATCACTGCCATGAGGCTCCCTCTCACCTCTCAGGTCGTAGTCTAGTTTTCTGCCCAGAGAAAATTCTGTGCTCAGTGCTCTCTGTCTCTGTCTCTGTTTTTCTGTGTCTCTGTCTCTGACTCTCTGACTCTGTCTCTGTCTGTCTGACTCTGTCTCTATCTCTGACTGTGTTTCTGTCTCTGTCTCTCTGCCTGTCTCTGTGTCTTTCTGTCTCTCTGTCTCTCTGTGTGTATCTGTCTCTCACTCTCTCTCTCTCTCTTGTCTTGTTCTCCCTGGACTCCCACCCTACTCTTTCTCTCTCTCTCCCGACATCCCCAGTTGGGCTCGACCGCTTTTCCCCATCTATCTCCCTATGCCGCCAGGGAGGTCTCACGCATTCAGACTCAGTAGGCTTTTGTCCATCCTGAAATGCTCTTTAAATTCTTGGAAAAGCCGATGCTGTTTTCCTTCTCCACAGACTTAGTGCTTTCTGTGGCACCAGGGTCTTTTCTCTGAGTCACCGACCTCATTTTCTTCCTCTCACCTTTTGACTGAGGTCATGACTGACTCATGATCTGGCTTTCATGTTCTTCTCCTCCTTCTTGATGGCTGCCCCGTCTCCTGCCATGGAGAGTCAGTTCCCACCTATCGTTTCTTTGTTGTTACTTTTTGGATCAAAACAGACAATGCTCAGGGGTTACTTCTGGCTCTGCACTCAGGAATTACTCCTGGCAGTGCTGGGGGGACCATACAGGATGCTGGGGACTGAACCTGGGTTGGTTGCATGCAAGGCAAATGACCTCCCTGCTATACTATTGCTCTGGCCCTGCCACTATTATTTCTAACCATTAGACTGCTAGCAAGCTCCCTGTGACGTATTCGATATGCCAAAAACCGTAACAAGAAGTCTGACAATGGAGACGTTACTGGTGCCCACTCGAGCAACTCGATGAACAATGGGAGGACAGTGCTAGACCACTAGTACCTCCAGAAGATACTTATCAAATTTCCCAGGATGAAATATTTTCTCTGATGGTTTGTCAGTGCAAAAGGAATTCTTGGGTTTGTCTTTGAAAACTGAAACAATACACAGGGTACACCACAAAAGTCCACCTGACTTGATTTTCCAATTGTTGATGTTGTCCCAGTTTGGAAGAGAGAGAGAGCGGCGCGGGGAGCTGGGATCAGCACTGCTCTCTCAGGGAAAGGTTCATGAAAACATTCCTGGTGCTGAGGCATCTTACAGCTGTTCTTATTGCCTAAACTTTCTTCCAGGAAACTTCCATTCTTTCCTGGATCCGTGAGTTAATCTGGGAAAGTTCTAGAAAGTCACTCTTTGGGTTAGGCTTGCAGGAGTTGACTTTTGCTTCTTAGAGACCTGTAGATAACTGACCCATTGATGCTTTGCCAAGAACTTCTCCCAGGCTGGGCTTGAAATTTGACTACTCTTGTTCAGCCATGAGGCCCACATGCCGAATGCTTCCACCTTCCTCTCTCCAATGCGGCTCTCTCTGCTCTCCCTCTTGTCTCCTTGGTCTGGACCTTTGTTATGTCTTTGATGGGCTAGTCCAGCCTGACCAAGCTCCAGTTGTAATTCGGTCACATGACTTCTCTAGTCTAAAACCCTAAGCTAGGTTTTTCAGTTTTTACCAGAGCAATAAAAACCTTTTAATCCACTTATAGGGGCATGAGGAACCTCCATCTCTGTATCCCAGCCATGCCCTATGATTAGTCTTCTTCACTGTCTCTCTGATTTTTGTTCTTTTGTTGCCTGATGTGATCTTACTTCCTTAAGGTTATGCTCAGGCCCTTTGCTCAGCTCCATCCATAATCAGGGACAGAAGATCACAGCTGTGTTTCAAGCTCATCTTCCCTTCCAGACCAGAACTATAATGGTTGATGGCATCTGGGACTATCCTGGATCACGCCCCATCTGATGTTGATCAGGATGGAAGAAAGGATAACACCCGCATGTACTTAAACATACTTGGCTCTAAGAAAAGATGAAATCATGTGATTGGCACCATGTGGATGGATCTAGAAGGTGTCACACTGAGTCACGTTAGAAAGAAAGGGATGGATATGGAATGGGCTCTCTGGCATGAGACACATAAAGAAACATAGTAAGGCAATGACATGTGGCAAATAAACGTGAAAACTGATCTACAGAACTGAGCTTGACGTGGTGGTGGGGGTGGGGGTGGGGCATGGAAGAGGCTTAAGCAGAGGGGGTAAGGGAGGCGGTGGAGAAACTCTGGGGAGGTTGTGGCAGTGGAACACTCCACGCAAGAAACCCTATCACCAACAGTGTTGTAAATCACCCTGCCTACAATTTAAAAAACATCATAATTTTAAATATCAGGGAATAGAAAAGATGGGGGTAGGTAAGTGGAAGGGGAATATATGAGTGGATGAATTGAAGATGCTGTGCTCTGGGCTTCAGGGGCTGAGAATCAGGGCACTCACAGAGCTGTTGATACACTCTAGGAAGACCATTTTTACTGCATTTTAGAGCTTACAAAGCGTCTCCAGCACTATGATGAGTGGACTTCATTGGCACCATGACCTGTGAGGAGCTGAGGTGTAGGAAGGGTGGCGGACTGGGGTTGAGGGCGGCCCAGATTAGGTAGTTTAAACAAGGTCACGCTAGGAGGGGCTGGACCTCATCGAGGAAGCCAGTGTCTGTGTGGGTGTTCACAATCTTTGCACACTGGGTGGGTCTTGTCAGATGGTGGAGGTGAAATACAGCCCAAAGGGCTATGTGGAAAGTGGGACTAAGGTGGTGGCAGAGAGCTGCTTCTCTTTATTTATTTATTCATTGCTTTTTGGGTCACACTGGGCAATGCACAAGGGTTACTTCTGGTTCTACACTCAGGAATTACTCCTGGCGGTGCTTGGGGGGACCATATGGGATGCTGAGAATTGAACCCGGGCTAGCCGCATGGAAGGCAAAGGCTCTACCCGCGGTGCTATCACTCCGGCCCAGATAGCTGCTTCTAAATCATAACTCTCTTCCCTTTCTTGCATCCTCACCAACCCAGAGGAAGCCCAAATAGCCAGAAGAGAAAACGTTATCCCGGTTCCAGAAACAGATAAGATACCTCTACTGCACGTTCTGATATGATGGCAAAATATTTTCATTTCTCCGAAAATCGCCTCCCTACTCTCTCCTCACCCCATGGGCCTGATCCAGGAAGAATCCACACGTGCTGGGCTGGGCAAAAGGCTGATGCAGCCTCTGCATATCGGCAGAGACAGGTTGATTTGAATGATCGGATAAACTCTGGAGGCTGTTTGAAGAGTCTTATCAAAAGAAAACACATTTTAAGCAAGAGGTTAAAAAAAGCTTTTCAGACCCAAAGGCCATTTAATACAATAAATCCTACTCGGGAGTTTAGCAAATAATTTTTTTTTTTTAACCCACATCCAACAGACTGGTTAGTATCGGATACACAGATTTGGTTTCAAAGCTGAAATGCCCCTGGTGTATGAGACCGACTCAAGAAATTCGGTTACTTCATTTTGGGTTGTAAGAAAAAGAGGGGCACAGATGTATGGACAACTTAAATATTACCGCAATAGGCTACTTGGTGATATAAACAGGAAAACAAAGACTTGGTCACGAACTCAAGTGAGAAGCCCATGACGGGAGTCTTTCTTGGGCTGCAAAGGATGTTAACATCTATCCTAGAATCTAAAAACAGGAAAATGAGTCAAATATTCCACTCCGTAGAAATCCCATCTGGCCCAGACCACCCCCAACACGTTTGGTTTCCTAACCACCTGCTACAGATGTTACTATGTCACTAATTAACAACAGCACAGAGAACAGTGTCCAATCGGAGGTTTTGCTATGATACACGATTCATCAGTGGCTGCAGGATTCTTGCTCCGAACACCCCGGGCAGTAGGCAAACTGGCAAGGATCCATCACTGGTCCAAGCTGCCGCAGCTAAGAGACAGGAGTGGTCGTTCGCTCGGGAAGCTCACTCGGGAACCAGCCGCCCCTCTGATGGGAGGGATTGGGGGCGGAGATCAGCAGCCCCCTACTCCTGGGCCTCCTTGCGCGTCAACTTGTAGATCTCGGTGGGTCCGTCCACGTGGGTGATCGTGGTGGTGAGCTGTAGTTCTTCCCCACTGTGCACAGCCAGGTCGCCTGAAAAAAGGGTTGGGGTTTAGATGAGTAGGCAGGGGGAGCTGGACCACCCCGGGGCCAGCCAGCGCTCTTCCACATCCTGACCCCGGGAGAAAACCTGCACCCATCCCACGTAAAACTGGGGCCTAATTCAACCTTTCACCCAGATGCTGGGCGCGATTTCATGGCATGATCTTTTACCTCCCCTGGAAGAGATGCTAATGTGAAAAAGAGGTGTCAGTTCACCTGTATATTATTTGTGGTAATTATTAACATTTAACGAGCGCTTCCTTGGTGCCTGACACTATTCAGGGCTTCATAGGTGATTTAATTTTTTTTAAAGATTTTTTAAAAAATGGAATGACTGTGAGATAGATCCTTATACAGCTATTCATGATTAGGTTATAGTTATACAGTGTTTCAATACCCATCCCTTCACCAGTGTACATTTCCCAGCACCAGTGTCCACAAGTTCTCTTCCATCACCCCCAATCCCAACCCCTGCCTGCCTCTATGGCAGGCACCTCTCTCCTTCCCTCCCTCCCTCCCTCCCTCCCTGCCTTTCTCCATCTCCCTCTCTCTCTCTCTCTCTCTCTCTCTCTCTCTCTCTCTGCCCCCCTCCTTGGGCATTATGGTTTGCAAGACAGATACTAGAGATACCAAAAAGTTATCATGTACTTTTAACCCTCAGATCTTGTCCAGCGTGTTCATTTCCAACTATTATTGTTGTAAATAATAGTATCTCTCTATTCTTACCTACCCTCCGCCCCACATATACTTGTGAGAGGTTCCAACCACTGATCAGTCCTCTTAGCTGCTGTTTTCCCTGGCCTTGGATATTAGTCTTCTACTATACATATTTTTTTATATGCCACAAATGAATTCAGCCATTCTCTATCTGTCCCTCTCCTTCTGACGCATTTCACTCATAGGCGACTCCATTTAATTCTCCGAGGAGCCCTCTGGGGGAGGCATATTTCCATCCAGCGGGCTCCAGAGAGGAATCTGGGGAGGACCCAAGTGAGGGGCAGGTATAGGACATGGCAGGAAGTGGCCAGAGTAAGGCTGGTCTAACTCCATCAACTCCCAGGCCACTGCAGGGGTCTGAGCCAGCACTCCATCCCCCTCACACGCAGTGATAGGAGGGAAAGGCATGCATACACAGATACACACTTGCTGTGCACTTTGCAAATGGCCTCTGCCCTGTCAAGGTGGACAAGACCTATCTCTACTTACCAGAAGGATTCCTCACTGGAATACATCTAAGAACAATGAAGGCCGTTCTCTTGAGAAAGAAAAATACCAGGCATGTATTCTGGAATTTTTGCTGTTCCCATGAGTCTGGACATAATGCCAGTATTTTGAAACCCTGAGTCATGCACAGAGATGGTCCTCCCCTCAAATGAAATAAGATGACCTTTTCTCAATGGGCAGGAAAAAAAGAACTTTCTGCTACTGACGAAAAGACATGTCAATGCTCATGAAACCAAGAAAGGGAAAATGGGCAATGCGGGGACCCGACGATGATCAGAGAGACTATGTGGACACAAGTGGCAATAGGCCCAGCTGAAGGTGAGGCCGTGGACATAGAGTACTCGTGGGCATGCACTTGCACACGTCTATCTGTGCAGTGGGGTATCCACAGTAAAAGGCTCCAGTTACATTTGGTAGTTTTATACCGTGCTCATGACTTCCTGTCTTCCTGCAGTCAAAATATTCAAAATGCCGAGTTAAGTAAGCAAGCACTGTTTTCCACTGAGATTCCAAACTAGGATTTAAAACTTCAAGCATCACTCTGGCCCTTCCCTTGGGATGACTTATTCTGTCACTAGTTTAAGAGTCGCTAACATCAATGAATCTGATGGTTCTAGAACCTCAGTGTCTTCAACCCTCTCCCCATCCATACAACTGGAGGTGCTTGGCTGGTGTCCAACCATGCTGCCCAGGAGTGGCTTTTCCTTGAAGACTTATATCTGGTGGTCTGTGCTTTGAGTCAACCTTATAATAAAGGCTGGCCTGCAATTCTCTCCTAAGACACAGTCACGGTTAGAGCAGGGTTGTTAATGATTACTGAGGATGATTACTGAGGACATCTGAGGATGGGCAGGTGTTAGGATCCACCTAGCCAGAGAACTGCCATGACAGGCTTCGTGGCATCTGAGTAACTAGGCCTCTTCCGGGAACAAAAAAGTAGCTCATTTCTAGTAAACAAGGTGGAGGGTCACAAAGTGTTAAAGCAGAAAAACCAGATGCTTTTGTCAAAGATTAGGTCCCCGGAATAAGATTAGGTCTCCGGAATATAACTGTCAGGAAGTGGGCTGGATGTTGAGGGCCAAAACAACAAGAAATATGTACTCTATAGGTAATAGAAAACTGTTGAGTAATGCCTACTTGCTAAAATGGAAGTATAAGAACTTGCTGAATCTAGTGCTTGGGGTCCTTGTTGAAACCCACTGCACCGGGCAGATACTTGGACCCCAGCTACCTGGAACAATAAATCTAGCTGTGTGATTTGCATTATAGGCTCTGTTCTCTGTCCTTGAGGGGTCACCGACTCTGGACACTAACATAAAAGGTAAGGCCCTCCCGTTGTTCATCAATTTGCTCCATTGTAACATCTCCATTGGAGATTTTGTTGTTACTGTGTTTGGCATATCGAATACATCATGGGTGGCTTGCCAGGCTCTGCTGTGTGGGCGAGATACTCTCGGTAGCTTGCCGGGCTCTCCGAGAGGGGCGGAGGAATCGAACTCGGGTCGGTCATGTTGGCTGTGTGTAAGGCAAACGCCCTACCGCACGGGCTCTTATTCATTTACTTAGTATGATTTGGGGGGACCATTTCCACCTGGCTCTGTGCTCACTCTCTGGTGCTGGGGGTTAAGCCACTGAAGCAGGATTGGTGGAATGTCAGGCCTGGAGGCCTATATTATCACTCTGATCTAGGTTCCACAATTCCTCTGTGCCCAAGTCACAGTCCCAGGGCAGAGAAGACACTAAGGAGAACAGGAGCTTCATCCATCCTTGGGCCAGGGTACAGAGAAGTAAGGGCACAGAGTGAGGCTGTGGGATTTCTCCTGGGATGCTGGACCAGGATGCTGAGCTTCTCCTGGGACGCTGGACCAGGATGGTGAGCATCTCTTCCCAGTTTACTGACTGCGCATCCTTTGAGCTATGACTTCTAGTTCACTTCTCAGTCAAGCTCAAGCAAGAGTTCTCAAGTTTCTGGGTCAACCCTGGTTTTGGATTTGGATAATTCTAATTGTCTTGCCACCCAAATTTCCAAGCCACTTTCAGGATCTGCATGCCTTGTTAGTAATCACAATTTCAAAGAGAATCCTGGCTACCCCAGGAGACTCATTGATCCCTCCAAAAGTGTTTGCCTACCGAATTCCTTTCACCAAGGACTCTTAGAATAGATACCAGAATAGAAAGCCTACTTTTTGTTTTGAGTCAGATGCTAATTCCATAAGCTTAAATTATGACTACAAGAGGCAGGTCCTTGAAAATGTGTATGATCCTACCAATCTCTTGAGGAAATAGCCTGCATTATTTTGGATTCTTTATTTTTACCAGAAGCCTATACTATGGTGCTTCCTATGTACCTGACACCATTCCAAACACCTCACAAATGCTAATGTATTCCTTCCTGAGGCCAGTCCTCTGCCAGAGGTGCAATTTGCATCATTCCCATCCTATTAGGAAGAAAGGGGTCACAGAGAGATAAAGTAGCATGCCCAAGGCCCAAGGTGGTAAATTCTGACTTTGGATTCAGTCTTCAACCTTCAGGCCATGCAGACTCATAGTAAACAGTCACGTTTCTAATAGCCAATCAGACTGTTCACAATCGTACACACAGACATGCAATCACTCTGTAGGAATTGCTCAGAAATTAATTGCTCAGCATTGGGCTGGCTTTTTATTTTTATCTGATGAGGGATAATTTGAGAATTCACAACAGCAGTGTGCCGATATTAAAGAGGATTCCTGAGGGGCATTATCACATTCGCTGGAGGGGCGAAGCGTGCCCTGTACTTCCTCATCCTCGGATGTGAAGAAACTGAGGCGTGGAGAGGCAATTAATTTCTGCAATGTGAATCCAGCTTCTCCTGGCAGAGCTGGGATAAGGATCCAGATCAATGGGACCCAGGCTAGGGAAAATTGAAGATTCCCGCGTGGTTTGATTGTAATGACAGCCAACATTTCCCCTTTAGGGAACGAATGTGGGAACCTGGCAGTAGGATAGCAAGAGGGGGGACCCTTCCATATGCCTCTGATTCCGTCAACTCCTACTTCTGCCAAGGTCTTGCTCCATCTGTTCCTCTCCCCACTCTGAGCTCCTGCTCAAAATACAAACAGCTCCAAGTCTCCTCCCATCTAAGACGGGGGTGGAGGGGAAACCTCTCCTTCAAACATGTAGCACTATAGCACTGTCTTCCCGTTGTTCATAGATCTGCTCAAGTGGGTACCAGTAACGTCTCCATTGTGAGAGACTTGTTGTTACTGTGTTTGGCATATCAAATATGCCACGGGGAACTTGCCAGGTTCTGCCGTGCGGGCAGGATACTTTTGGTGGCTTGCCAGGCTCTCTGCGAGGGAAGGAGGAATCGAACCTGTGTCTGCCATGTGCAAGGCAAACGCCCTATCTACTGTGTTATCTTATTTGGGGGAAAGGGAGAATAAAAGGGGAAAGCAAATTTGCGGAAGAGAGAATTCTTTAGTTTACAATAAAGCTTTCCCGGGTCAAGACCAGCTCAGTTCATCAGCCATCAAATAAATGTTCATTTCTAACTAGTAAACACCCAGCTCCTGCTCAGATGAAAACAGCCAGCTCCAGTCTCAGATTTAAACTCAGAGGACTGTCAACAGGCCCATATCTACATGCACACCCACAGTAGTGTACGATTCTAACTATCTTAAACATTCTAGCAACCCAGGGGGCTGTACCACAGGGAGGTAAAGGAAAACATAGCTTCCTAGGGCTGACAGCATTACAATGGCAATCACCAGAAGTTCTGTGCCTA